ACACATCGAGGTCCGACTGTAGTTGCTAAACAAATGCGTAAAAACCTGATACCCACTAAAAAACTTCCCATTTTGCGTGCACGTTTCTATACATTTCCCGTTGATTCAAAGTTGTCTACTCGCTATTCGTGTTTACGTGCAGAGTGAGCAAATTGTTTCAGTTTTTCGCAGTAATGTAAGTAGCGGATATAACGTTCTTATCACACCAGGAAGTCATGGTATATACAATGATTACAATCATGACGTTACATATGTGATTAAACGTTAAACATTATATTGTATAAATATGTTACTTTTGAATCGGCTGGATAGTATCCCCTTTCCTTGGGAAATATGATGAATTCTGTGAAAAGGGACACAATGGAGAGAGGTATCAACGGAGAAATGTGCGGTTAGAAATATGTCACGATACCCTATTGAGCCTGAATGAATGATTGCCTTTATATTACTGCCTTAAGCGTGGGACCGGACATAAATATCCTGGGGCTTATTTATTTGTCAGAGACAGAATATGTTTTTGGAGGCTGCTTCACTTCACGAGAAAACATTTATTTTACTCTTAAAATCTGGAGCAGAACCATTTATACACTGAATACAAAAGTATTTCAGATAATAAAACCTGCAAGTAAATGTATTTTATTAAGAAGAACCATTTTATACACTAAATTCAACTTTATTTGAGGCATTTAAAATTTACAAGTAAACGTATTTTACAAATCCCCCGACGAAATGGTTCTCCTTGTACTGTCGTATCTCTGTATAATAATAAACATAAACAAACACCGATTTTAACATACTGGTGTAAATATGTCGATGTCAGTATAACTATTTATGTCAAAATCGATACTTATATACCGATATCAGTGTTATATCAATATATCGATAACAGCATATCGATGATAACACATCGATGCTGGTACGTCAATGTCAATATATCGATGTAAATATACCGATATCAGTAGGTCTATATCAACTAATCGATAACACCATATCGATGATAACACATCGATGTTGGTACGTCAATGTCAATATATCGATGTCAATATACCGATATCAGTAGGTCTATATCAACTAATCGATAACAGCATATCGATGATAACACATCGATGTTGGCACGTCAATGTCAACATATCGATGTCAATATACCGATATCAGTAGGTCTATATCAACTAATCGATAACAGCATATCGGTGATAATACACTGCTGTCTGTATATCTATATGAACAAATCGATTTCAAAATACCGATATCATAAAGATTATATTAATATAGCGATAACAGCATATCGATGATTAAACAACGATATCAACAAATCGATGTCAAGACATCGAGGGACGGGTTTGATCAGACATTTGACAAGACGATACAGGAGCAAATCAGCTAAAGGCAACACAATCAACAAGCAGTGGACTCACGGTACAATGCTGCATTCCACTAATATACACATATACTCACAGAAAAAAGAAACGCACACGACACTGTCTGATGGTCGTAACACGAGCACTACATGTCGTAGTGGCTTTGGGCGAAATATATAAACTAAACACGATTGAAGTATACAGTTCGAGATCTTTGGAAAGGTTCGAGTTACAGATATACTTTACGAAACAAGATTAGATGACTTCGAATTGAATGCACATTTCGAAATGTCGGTTTACTGGTGATCTGTGAGATATTTACACTGAACAAACTGCTTCGTGAATCGAGTACAAGTTGGGACTTCGAATTTTGAGGTATCGGGATTTTTTCGAACCAAAGCTTCACAGAGACATTTAACTAAACCATGGTTTAATGAACACGAAAAAAATATCTATGAAGCTACGAGGCACTTGGACACATGGAAGTCTGCGATAATGGGAGTCCATTGCGCTATACAATCATTCTACTTAACATCCTAGTATCACAGATGTTTCTCACTCAATCACGATAGGAATATCATACTGAGATCTGGTCATGTATTATTTCCAGTATTGTAGTTTACGTGCGTATTGTGTAATCAACGTACTACTTGTTGCGCATAAACAACAATAAATATTTCCTTGCTAAGTTATGAATACTTTCTTTAAACATCCCATATATGGACAGTATTTTTTCAATAACCTAAGAATATTTTTGACCGGCGATATAAACTGACGTTCAAAAGAAAGTACACATTGATTCTTTGGCAAAATCTTTTCTTGAAAACAGCATTAATATTTAAAAAGTGTTTTGATTCTGCCTTGTCACAAACATTGTGCAAGTGTTTCCAAAACACCACAGATATTGTACCCAATTACAGCATTGCTAGCAAAATATTTACGTTTTTTTGGAAATAGTCCCAAAACGTCAGTATATTTTAAGTCTCGTGTTTCGAATCGTATCACCCCTCTGCAGTGAATATGTGCACATCGTCTCTCAGTGGTATTATGGTGTCTAGTACTTCATAGAATTTTATAAACTACTCAAATGTTATGAAGCATTTATCTTCCATGTCAGTATACAGTACATCTGTTACGGCAGATTATCAATAGTAATATGGAGGAAATGAGTGTTCTCTGATTTGTTTGAGTAGTATATAGTATAGTAACATAACACTGCAGCAGCCTTCATTCAGCGTGAGGACATGGACAATGTATACTACACAAAGTTTGCTAGGGGTACCCTCGGAATACTGTCAGTGAGAAAAGGGAATGGCTTGACCAACGAAGCTTGTATCTGGGAAGGGAATACGTCTTGTTATGCTTGTACATCAATAGATTGTTATTTGTGTGTCATACTCTTAATTGATTGAGCGTGTCAATATCTATATCAAAACTGAAAACATAGTAAATATGTATTAAAAATATAACAGCAAACTACGGTTATAGCGATCTCAAAGGAACCACTATAGTTCGTCATAACCGGATTTCGTTATACTCATTTCGACTGTAAACACTAGGGCTGCAACAATTCCGTTCGATTCATCGAAAATCGAATCTGACACCTTAGTTTCGATTTTCGATAACCATTATCACTATTTCGATTCGATATTTGAATACCTATATAAATTATTTCCACACAGCCAGAACGTAATTTTGACTCGAACTCGAGCAGTATCGAGCGCTGAAATAAGGAGACACGTGATTGATTGACGCCGGGCTAATTATCCAATGAGAATTGTTGTTATAGTCAAGATGACGATTGATTCCATGCTAGAAAAGCTGACTCATAGGTTAAACGAAATCTGATGTTTTTACTTGAATGCAGAATAGAATCGAAAATGATCGAATCGAGGGTCCAATATCGAAAACCGAATCGAATCGAGGTCTGGGTGAATCGTTGCAGCTCTAGTAAATACAGAAAGAGGTCAGAACTGAACAAATAGTTCGTAATATCGATCAGTTCGTTACAAGCGTGTTCGTTGTAAACGTAGTTCACTGTTTTCTTCACTCGACGTTGAATTTTGATTTTCAGTACATAAATGAATATATATACGTGTTATATTTTCCATTAATACTTTCAGTCATAGCAAAGGCTTGTACATTTTACAAAGATGCATAACATTCGTTCTACAATCATGAACTTAAACTATTCAACCAACACACCGCAGACATACAATAATGCCTTGAATTTTACAAACATTCATGAACAAATTAATCTTTACAGTGATAGAAATCTGACGGTTGGATGTGCGCATAAATCATAGGATGATGGAGTAATCGGATAAATTATTAATAATAAATGTTAATATTTATTCAACATGATATACGAGCTCTGTCACAATAGTAACGGAACACAGTAAACAGAATCACACATTTCACTTATGTCAACACGATGTGATCAATACTTTATAATGGATATGCTACATCATTAGTGGTATTATCCGTCTTTCTACCAATTAGCATATTATTTTGTGCTTCATAATCTGATGCCTATTTTCTAAAGTGATTTTAATGTTTTCTACGAAACACTAACATTAACTCTATGTGACACGGGTAATCTTTAAATTCTCGAGTTGAACTAGAATGATAATATGATGAATCTTAAATTTGCAGACAAGGGAAATTAAGTGCTCGACTATAGTTTTAGTTATATTCAAGATTTCTGTTGAAGAGCAGTGATACAAGATCTGTGTTGTTTTCACTTTACATAATTAAAACAAAATGTTTTCTTCTAATTATATTTTTGTTTGGGCGATCGGTCTGGTAAGCCAACTTAAAGGTTATATGAGGCCTCAAACACATTGTGTTTCCAGAAGAACTGATATGGACGGCCGCGGGTACCGTCCGGATTAACAAGGTTACACGGTGAATAGGTTTGAGTGCATAGACTTAAAGGGGGATGTGCTCCGCAGTCTGTCTCCATGGTTCTAAACTGGGATCCTGTCTCTCGGTATGTATCATTCATCCAGACATAGCCGATTCTCTTACAGGGTTTTACAAATGTTTTGCCTGAGGTTTAACTGCGGGTGTGAAAATAAAGCTGACCTCTGTTAAACCTAAATAAGTACAACGAGACGTTTAACTATCAATAACACATTTATCCTTCTGTCTACTGCGTCACGCGACTACGACCCGTAATTAACTCCGATGTTTCAAATAAGTATCTATTCTGACTGGGATCCTATTCCAACTTAAAATACAAATTTCGCTCTAAAATGCTAACGTCATATTTTTCAGTTAATATTCAAACTTTCAAACATATACAAAAGTATATTTCACCACCGTGTGACTTGAGACACGCTGTCCCTATTTTCGCCTGGCTTTTTGACATTCCTGCGCAACGACTTACAACACTATACTACTATTTACAGAATCGACAAAGCTCGTCACATGGTGGTTAGAATGGTATTACCCATAAAGCCATGTTCTTGAATGATAGTTTATGAATCATATTTTCTTACGCAAAAACATACACACCTCTAGCACTAGCAAATCCTAGATCACACGCCATTTTGAAAGACTTTCAAAAGCTGCAGCCGATTAGCGATGCAAGTATCTCTTTGACACAGCAGTCATAAACTGAGATAAGGGACTTCTATATTTGCCATTTAACTCATATCCTTCTTCATAGGGAATCCATCAAATCACAGTCTGCGATGCTATAATACTCCACGTTTGATTGACACATCTTATATATTACCATCATATACACAACTTATTCAACCATGTCAAGTGTATATACACATATATCAAATATCTGACTGTACCTATCATATGTATGTCCATCAATTTTGAGTTATTTGCATGGACAATCTGATATGACTCTAACCGAATATCGATCTGTATCCAGGATGAGGGTATCAGTAGTAGATACAGGGGTGGGTGAAGTTCCTACCCCGGCCCTAAACAACACATTGACTCCAATGACAATAGCAATATCGTCGTGTAGAAATACCTTTTTTGTTATTGTCATTCTCGTGTCCATTGCCCATTGTCAAGTGGATCCACCCCTCTACACTGAACGTTACCGTTAAAGCGTGAAGACCCCACTCACAACACGGTCAGACTTACCCCCACCCCTACCGCCTCAACATTTCTGAATCCAGTTTCCTATCCAGCATGAATACATGAATACATGAATATATTAAGTAATAAATTACTGGTGAAGACCCGAGTTAGCATTCATCGTCAGCACTTTATGTTTGTGGTAAGAGGCGACTAACGGGATCGGGTGGCCAGGCTTGGTGAATGTCACCCGTATCCAACGGCGTGGATCGGTGCTCATGATGTCTATCATCTGATTGCCTGGTCCAGGCTGTTTTACAGATGGCAGTCATATGTTTTGATTATTGTTGAGTGCGGCATTAATCAACATAACAAAAATACCTGTCATTGTCAGCAAAGCCGGATATTCAACATAGAGCAATATGCCTTACGTTATACACAAGTATCAAGTAATATATTTCAATCATTTAAATTAGATTTTTAGGACATCAAGTCCTGACAATTCTTCTGTTAAAATCATGGGTTCCTGGTGAAGGATATAGTACTAAACTACCATGAAACGGTAAAACTTCGAATAGCGCCCCGGGCCTCTTATTACAACAAGACATCCGGGCCTGGAATTGGCACTAGACTCGTTGCATGTGGAACTGGCATCCTGGGTAACGACTCTCGTAAGAAGGTATAAAAGATTAATATTGCACAACCATTCCGAGAGTAAAACCTAGCACTGACGCCGTCTGTCTTCAGCCCGACCTTCACCTTCACGCTAAACTTTGCAGCGAATGTAAATCTACTTCCAGGTTGTTTACATTTTGATCAACATTCTTTAACAATTTAAAAGTTGGGGAGTCAATCATCCATTACTGATTCCCAAAATGTAGTCCCCTTTAATATTCAAAGCCAAAAAAGAAAAAAGGAAATTTATCAGGGTCTCCTAAAAACAAGTTCTCTGTACTTTTTTCATCATAATAACAGGTTTCAAAATCAAGGTCTGATGCGAAAGGACTAGAAATGTGTCCAGAGCGAAAGTGACTACATGAACGCTGCAATCTTCAGACTGGACAAAAGAGGACGACTTTTTGAGCAGTCTTCTCTGACAATTCAGGGTCTTAAGGGCAGGCCAGTTACTTCGGCGCAACTCCTAAACGGCCATTTTGTTTGTTGGAGGCCAGAAGTGGCCTTTGATCACGTACTCGGCACTGGGCCCGGCATCTATTCGAAGTTTTACAGCTAGCGGTGCCACCAACTATGGAACCAGTTGTACCGTTCTGCTCCTATGAGAAGCTATCTACGCTGTAGTTGTTCTCGACAGAGTACCACGGCCCGTACCCACAGGTCTGGAAGTGCTGGTACAGCGTGCTCTTGGACGCCTGGTAGTCTTCTGACAGCAGTTTGGCCTCTTTGTAAGATGTTTTGAGCATATCCGGTCTGTTGAACTTCCGGCACAGACCCCGGAAGGAGGTGAAGAAGGATTCCTTGGAAAGACGGGATTCCTTGGCAGAGATGGACCTGATGGAAATACAAATTCCCGACATACTGTGATTTTCGAATAGATGTTATTGTACACGTCTGTTATGCATACCAGTATCAGGGATGGGTGGTGGTGGTGGGGAAGCTTAGTGGTTAAGGCGTTCGCTCGTCACGCCTGAAGGTCGGGTTCGATTATCCACAGGGGTACATTGTGTAAAGTCCATTCCCGGTGTCCCCCGCCATGATATTGCTGGAATATTCCTTATCACTCACTCTACCAATGCAAAAATATAAGTGATTGATGCGATCTGCAATATTCAAGCTATATCACTGTCCCTGTAAATACCCGGATATAAGTTCACACTAGTGGTTGAGACAATGAGCAAAGGTCCGCGAACTCGGGAAACGTTGACACATTATCCATAATATTCACTTACTCTATTCAGTCGAGCCTCATAATCCAGCAATCTTGACGCATTTTACTCATGCAGAAATCAAACTCAGGTACCATGTCTGACAATAAAATGTTCTTTGACTTGAGGCAGTTATCACACAAATGCCTTTTAAAACAGAAGCCGTGGGTATTAAGGATTACACTAGGACCCCATCTATACTGTATACATACGATGGTCGTAAGAGGCGACCAAATGGACTGGGTGGTCAGGTGGTCAGGTTCGCTTGGTTGATTGCAAGTCTGACAGAGTGAGTTTGGTTTTACGCCGCTTTTAGCAATATTCCAGCAACATCACGGCTGGGGGGACACCAGAAATGGGCTTCACACATTGTACCCATGTGGGGATTCGAACTCGGGTCTTCGGCGTGACGAGCCAACGCTTTAACCATTAGGTTACCCCACAGCCCCTGATTGCAAGTCACATTACCCTGACTGTGGATCGTTGCTCGCAATATTATCACTGAATCTTCGAGTCGAGACTCGATTATTAACAAGCCACCGTCACACAGCTGGTATACAGTATTAAACAATGGGTGAGTGAGTGAGTATGGTTTTCGCCGCCTTTCTAGCAATATTCCAGCAATATCACGGCGGGGGGAACCAGATATGGGCTTCACACATTGTACCAATGTGGAGAATCGAACCCGAGTTTTCCCGCGTGACGAGCGAACGCTTAGACCACTAGGCTACCCCTCTACCCCAGTTTCAAACAAACAAACAATAATCGAGAAAAGTCATACCCTCCAACCATGGCGCCCGTCATCCCGTCGATGACCTCCACCCCTGGGTCACCGAATGTCCATGTGACGTAATACTGGCGGGATTTGTTGATGTTGTAGTTGTCATGGAGATCGGCATCCGGGTACGATATCTCTGGCGTATTAACACGATATGGTGGCTGCAAGTCCTGGCGGAGGTCTCCGGTTGTGAGTCGGCCAAAAATAGCTCGTGGAATGTGTTCGCGTTGGTCACCAGAGTAGCTGCCTGCGAAGAAAGATTGAACGGCAATATTAGAACTACTGATGTGGTGACACGGTTGATTAAACTATTAATGCAATGCCACTGACACAGTACATCGATGTGGGTGTTGGGGTCAAGTGAGCAAAGGCCACAGGTCAAAACTAAGGTGAAGGTGAGCAAAGTGGGTCGTTTAGATGGCTGACAGTGTTCGGCCGATTGACTCCTGAGTGAGTGAGTGATTGAGTGATTGAGTGAGTGATTGACTGAGTGAGTTTTACGCCGCACTCAGCAATATTCCCGCTATATGACGGTGGTATGTAACTGGCGGTGGTCTAGACTCGAATATTTACAGCCATATTGCTGGAATATTGCTGAGGGAGGCGTTAAATAACAACCAAACGAAACAGATTTCCACTGAAAATGTCAGACCCTTTCGAACACATATACTAGAACAGTTCCAGGTGGGAAGCTAGAGGCACTCAATATGTGATAACAAAATTAACATGACAAAAACCTATTGAATGAAACAAGTTCTTTTTTAACCATACTTAATTTAAATCTGCACGTCTGATTCAGAAACCTTTGCATTTATATGACATCAACTGCTTTGAAGTCTTTGTGCAATAGGTTGAGAGTATTGAATTTAATACAACAGGACATAAAACATAATCTACAAGTCTTTCATGTACCCTAGTATTGCTAGTTGGAAAATTTCACTATTAATCATAAAACAGCCCTAGGCCCGTCTCTGTACAATGGAGAGATGCATATGACACGTGGTCGTTCAACCATAAAGTACATGTGAATATAATTGATTGTTTACATGAATAATAAATACACAACAGCGGGAGTGCAAACAGCTTTGAAAATTCATTGTACTCGATCAATACTCAAAATGATATTCAGTTCCCTATTTTGGATTGAAACATACTCTCGTGTGTTCAGGTGGACAATTGACTTGCCTCCGCATGTGGTTGTGATGGTGTAAAGTGGGGCAGAATATGCTCACCTCTACACGAACACCTGAACCCCGTTTTACAAATCTGTCGTAGCGCTACGACTGTCGTACCTCCTATACTGGGCCCCGTTTTAGAAAGCTGTCGTAGCGCTACGACTGTCGTACCTCCTATACTGGGCCCCGTTTTACAAAGCTGTCGTAGCGCTACGACTGTCGTACCTCCTATACTGGGCCCCGTTTTACAAAGCTGTCGTAGAGCTGCGACTATCGTACCTCCTATACTGGGCCTCGTTTTACAAAGCTAGTCGACTGTCGCTACGACTGTCGTACCTGTCGTAGCCTATACTGTCGTACCTCCTATACGGGCCTCGTTTACAAAGCTGTCGTAGCGCTACGACTGTCGTACCTCCTATACTGGGCCTCGTTTCACAAAGCTGTCGTAGCGCTTCGACTGTCGTACCTCCTATACTGGGCCTCGTTTTACCTGTCGTAGCGCTCGACTACCTCCTATACTGGGCCTCGTTTCACAAAGCTGTCGTAGCGCTACGACTGTCGTACCTCCTATACTGGGCCCCGTTTTACAAAGCTGTCGTAGCGCTACGACTGTCGTACCTCCTATACTGGGCCTCGTTTTACAAAGCTGTCGTAGCGCTACGACTGTCGTACCTCCTATACTGGGCCTCGTTTCACAAAGCTTTCGTAGCGCTACGACTGTCGTACCTCCTATATTGGGCCTAGATTTTCGAAGTTCTCTTAGCGCTAAGATAGTCGTAAGTTAATGTTAATGTATGGCACTTACGACTATCTTAGCGCTAAGAGAGCTTCGAAAATCTAGGCCCTGTAACACAGTCTTGCAACAGTCGTAGCGCTACGATAACAGTGCCCCCTGGTTTCAAGATTAGTCATTCATGAACACGTGCTTATGACAGATACGGCACCGAATAATACAGATTTTTAATTATTGTGGAAGGCGTTATTCTCCGTTTTATCTTTAAACAGACTCTGTCTTCACTCACTCACTGTATCTGAAAGACCTTTAATACATGTACACTTATACTCACCTATAATGACTGATGACAGGTAAAGAGGGTCCATAAAATGACTTAGAAGCGCCCCCTGGAGGCCGAGAGCGTTCCATCGGCATATCTTGTCTGAGCAGGTCATGATGCGCAGTCTCTCACTTCCGCTCTCTCCAGCAGGAATGTAGGAATCGGTGGGAATGGCACCCTCGCCTGAAGACCACGGCAAATATACACACACGTACAAAAGAAAGTACACTGCTTTTGAACTTTTGAAAGCAAGGTAAATTTTTGAATAAATTTTGATTGTAACTTTCATGTTACAAATGTTGTCAAAGCACTTTTCAAAATGTTTACGTTGCATTTTGGAAACTACGAACATAGCATCGGGTGTGTCCGTTCCTTTGCAATGCAATGAGGTGTAACGATACGATGAGGCTGCGTATGATACGTATCAGCGTTTCTAGTGAGGTTTTTGTATAGGCAACCGCTTTCAGAATCAGATGCCAACGCACAGTTCTGGTCGATCATTGTAACGGATCCAAATGTGTAACAAAGTGGCCAAATAGAAGAGGATCTTAGGGCCTATTATGGACCGGAAGTATCACGGGCTGACAGATGTACATACCGTCTTCAATGATAGTCCTGAGTTGCCCCTGCTTTCTTATTGCCTTCATCCGGGTGGGACCGTTCCTGGACAAAAGTTGGATGGAGTGAGCTTAATACAGGGCCTTTGGCTTTGGGATGGTATTGCTACTTCCAGTTCGTTATAACCATAGTTCGTTACAAGCAGTTCAACTAAAATATACAGAAAAAGGCTGGGACCTAAATTACAATTACTCATATCTGTCAGTTCGATACAACTGTACTGTTTACTGTATGCTCCCCTGCTAACCTGATCTTACTACATAATGATGAGTGGAATAAAGGTCTGTTAATGGTATCAAACTGAACGGCGGTCTGTAAATAATCGAGTCTTGACCGGACAATCCATTGATCAACAGCATGAGCATTGATCTACGAAATTGGGATACGATGACATGTGTCAATCAAGTCAGCGAGCCTGACCACCCGATCCCGTTAGTCGCCTCTTACGACAAGCATGGGTTACTGAAGACCAATTCTAACCCGGATCTTCACGGGTCAGCTGAACACGATCTGTATTATGAATAACCAATGAAAATTAGATGCATGTCTGTCCAAAAAGTGGAAGACGTTCCACTAATTACAATTTAGGATACACCGTATTTCCTACAGTTGCAGCTCAGTCAGGGCATAGGTGTGTGTGTGTGTGTGCGTGCGTCTGTGCGTGTGCGCGCGTGCGCACACACGGGTGCGCACCCCCCCACCCCTTTGTCCTGAAAGTTTATTAAATGACCATTGAAACTCTGGTGAAACACCGATGAAGTGTGCACCCTCCCTTTTCTCAATAGTGAGCACCCCACCTTTCTCAAAAAGCTGTATCCAGCCTCATGTAAGAGATGCGAGTTTTGATTGGTTCACGTGACTCTGATCAAATACCGTATCCGCCCCTGCAGGGGTTTATATATTTACCCAATTCAAAGTATATGAGCTATGTGAGCCCTAAGACGAACGAAGCTCCACTATTTTAACGTTGACTAACAGTCATAGCGCTTAATATTATTGGTTTAGACGTTTTGTGCCGAGATACTGAAGTGCATATACCTTATATATAAATATATCCAAATCTTCATCTTCATACCTCATTTACCGTTACCTGATAAACATGAGACCCATTCAGGAGCATGTACCCCATTATACCGCGACTCACCCTATAGTGGGGAAGGCGGAAGCGTCTCCACACGGGGGGCGACTGATGTAGAGGTGAAGCTTGACGTCATCCCTGATCTTCAGCTTCCCAGTCACGGGGTTCCTCTCAAACAGATGATGTCCTCTGCGGTCCTCGTACCTCTCCAGCTGCTTGTACAAGTACCTGGAGGACAATACAAGAATATACAATCACACGAAATATCAGAGAGGGCGGCAATCCGCCCAACTTCTTTTATATTACAGTAATACAGTCGATCAATTGTAAATCCGCCAAAGTTTGTTTGTTGTTTAAGGCTGCACTGAGCAATATTCCTGCTATATGGCGGCGGTTTGTAAATAATCAAGTCTGGACCAGACAATCCAGTGATCAACATCATGGGCATCGATCCAAGATATTGCATGGGATACGATGACGTGTCAAGAATGCCAGACCACGCGATCCCTTTTGTCTCCACCCGACAAGCATGGGTTGCTAAGGACTAATTCACGGTAACTGGCACTATAACCACGTCAGTTTGCGTTATGTTTAAAACAGTATATAATACGACCAGCACCAATTCACGGTAACTGGCACTATAACCACGTCAGTTTGCGTTATGTTTAAAACAGTATATAATACGACCAGCACCAATTCACGGTAACTGGCACTATAACCACGTCAGTTGGCGTTATGTTTAAAACAGTATATAATACGACCAGCAATCATAAGTTTCTTCACGAGATTACTGATTAAGTGTTGGGACACCGTCTCCATCATGGTATCTGGCTGGTTTTGCGTCATTACACCCCGAACGCGTCGTACCATACCCGCGCTTTCAACACCTTGCTTCTCTTACCCAAACTCGACTATTTACCGTGCTATTGATTTCGGGGGAAAAGATTCAAAATGTCATCAAGTAAACATCCCGTGATTCAGCAACAACGGGTGTAGGGGCGACGTTTACCTGATGAACGCCCGCTTGGCGATGATCTCTGCGTGGGAGTGGATGATTCTGCTGCCGTCATCTCGCATGTGTTGGTGGAGGATGCACCTGTTACCTGGAACGCGGGACAGGTGCAAATACAGGTGAGAAGAGAGACACGTCATCTACCAATGACCTCACAACCGTAAAGTAGAACGTAATGTTAAAATGCATAGTGAGTGAGTTTAGTTTTACGCCGCACTCAGCTATATTCCAGCTGTATGGCGGCGGTCTGTAAATAATCGAGTCTGGACCAGACAATCCAGTGATCATAAAATGCATAGTAAATAGTTGAGTATATTGGCACATACATGTGTTCACCTATATGCAATCTACATTCATTATTACACTTTGGTTGGAATATCGGTTTTAGTGATGAACACTTTTTAGCTGTGAATTCATGTGAATTTTGTAATGTAATGAAATAACAAACTCAAAGGTTGTGTTCAGCAGGCGAGTAGACTTCGCTCTCCATATATATAATACTGATGTCTTCAACTGAGAGGAGACCAGTCGAGCTGTTCAAAGTCATACTGATATTTATATCCGATTCTTGTGAAGATCTTAATAACTGTTGCAACTATTTGTTCATTGTTTAACGCCGCACTCGGCAATATTCCGACTAGACGTCGACGGTCTGTGAACAACCCAGTGAGTGACATCATGAGCATCGATCTACAAAATTGGTGCGTGATTACAAGCGTCAACCAATTCAGCACGTTTGTCAACCGGATTCGGTCTGTCGCCTCTAACAAGAAGGTTGCTGAGGACCAATTCTAACCCGGATGTTCAGACTGTCAACGTGACACAACACACATCTACTGGAGATGCCCTAAATCGTGCATTGACAACTTCGTCATCGACACTCCTGTGGACGTACAACAGCGACATGCACGGTAACAACACAACGCCAACAACTAAACACATGCCAGCCAGGTCAGTAGGTTAAAGGTCAGCATGTGAAGGTGAAACAAACTTAAAATTGTGCATTCGTAACCTTTACCTTTCTTCTTGTCTCTGTGAAAGCAGAACGTGATTCAGAGTGTATTTTTTAAATCCTGAAAACTTTAAAGCTCCAAACGCTAAAATTGTTCCAGCCGAGTTTAATAGCTAATTTAATATCACATAGAATTCTGCATCTCAAATAACTTTAAGACTTCTGTTATAAAGAATGATCCCTATCATTTGGTCAGATTCAGCGTTTGAGGGAATATATATTTCTAGATCAATACAAGGCTAAAAAACAAGAGAACTTTGAAAACGCACCCGTTCCCAGGCCAACAGCCACAAACCTCCCATGGTGCATTTCGAGAACAATGGCGGCTGCGATTTTGTCTTTGGTGTAATAGACCAGTTGTGTTTCCTCCGCCAACTCCAACACACCGCGAGTCAGCAGTTTGATCTTGTGGGCGTGGCTCAAGTCCGTCTGATCTTCAAAGGTGTTGTTCTGGAAAGGTATTGATCAGTCGTTGTAAAGACCTAAACACAGCGTTTGTCCTTAACCCTGAAAAGTTGAAGGCCCTTAGGACCCAGGACCTAGGGCCTAGATTTTCGAAGCTCTCTTAGCGCTAAGATAGTCGTAAGGTTATATTAATGTATCGCACTTACGACTATCTTAGCGCTAAGAGAGCAGAGCTTCGAAACTCTAGGCCCAGAACCATAAAAAGTTGTGGGTCCTGATCAGAATGTGTAGGCCCTATATTTTCGCTACAGTATAAGTAATTACCAGCAAACAAAAATGTGACAACTAACAAACTGAGTTGAAGAGTTTAATTTAGAAATATAAACTAGAAATTACTGAAGAGATTTTCTGAAAAATAATACTCTTAGTTTTGGGGGATGAAAAAACTGCCGGCCATAAGGAACTGCAGAAAACAAAACCTGCGGCTCCGAGTGTTTTTCAGTCGACTTCGGGCTTAATGATTGACGCTAATTTCGAACGCTGCCTAAACACATCGTGTTCCTTAAGCAACGTTCCTAGGCCTAGATTTTCGAAGCTCTCTTAGCGCTAAGATAGTCGTAAGTTAAGGTTAATGTATGGCCTTTACGACTATCTTAGCGCTAAGAGAGCTTCGACAATCTAGGCCCTGGCCCATGGGGACCCGTGTTAAAATTGATTGTAAGCTACCCATGCGTGTCGTGAGATGAGTAACTGGATCGGGTATTCAGGAGGTGGTATCCCAGTTGCCGGGATAGTTGCTCATGACGTCAACCACTTGTTCAGACTTACAAGCTGCCGTTGCTGGAATATTGTTGAGTGCGGCAGACCACGGCTTCCACCAATGACAGACCATGCATTGAGGTAATGGCATACGGATTTTAGTCCGCTCTTACCACAAACGTGGGATGGCGGGGACAGAGGTCCACTGAGAGTCTCCTTCGCGATCCCCATGGCGAATCAATGTAAATAGGGAAGTTGGGTTTCACAGCGCTATAAGCAATATTCTTGCAATTGCGGGGGACACAAGGAATGAGCTTTACACATTTTACCCATGTGGAGAATCGAACCCGGGTCTTCAGCGTGACGAGGGGACGCATTAACCACCTGGCCACCTCAATACCCCTACGAATGAGCCAAGTCGACTCATTTCTTATTTCTTTCTCTTTTGCGGTATGTTAAAATAAAAAGATTCGTCAATATATGAAAAATAGTTTCTTTGAGAAGCGTTTAGAAGTTGGAGCAGTCAGGAAGGATAACAATTATATGAATGAACAACTTTTTTTATTACATTGAGATCGACGTTTCGGTGAAGGTGCCTCTTGATTGAAATACAGTGCTAGAACCTACACCAACGCCGAAACGTCGCCCTCAATGTAATAAATAAGTTGTTCATCCATATATTGTCATCCTTTCTTATCAAAATTAGACTCGGAATATACTATGTATGCGTGAGTTTTATGAAGCTGAAGAGGGAACCTTTCAGTTTTTACTTAACGCACAGTGAGCCCGATTAAACGAGCTGCCCATGAGACATGTCCAAAGAGTACTGATTCTCTGAAGCAAGTGTCAGTTTGATAACTACTCGTGTCACTCCGGGACGAGCCTTCTTGTAGCAGAAGTTGCGTCTCCAGCGTCTATCTGAGATCTAAAGTTAATCTACAATAAGTGTCAGTAAGATCCAACGAAACTTATGCCGTCCGACCTACATATTCCAGCAGATGAATACAATGTGGACTTTCAAGTTGGAGAAAGCCCTCAACCCGTAGATGAGCTCTACTTAACTTAACGAGGGTAACTAATCAACAGATTTCGCACTTTTTCCTGCACTTACGGAAAAACGCTCATGACATAAAAAGTGATATGGACAGATTGTATTTCACGAACCAAGACTTATTAATTTGTTTTGTACATATTGACATTAACAGCTATAAATGACAACTTAGATACAAGGGGAAAACTAGATTTGTTGACTAATCTACAACAATCGTCAATTATTTATGCACGTGCTTGGAATCGTTGTATGGTTGACTTCTTTGGAAATCAAGAACATCCACAATCTGGCGATTAGTTTTGCTCGTGAGGTTTACTCTCTGTGGAATACCCAAGCCTAACTATCTCGAACAAGTCACGGGCGAAGCTGATCGCTAAATTGAGGATTTCCTCTTTCACCTGACCATTGTTGGAATGACATGATTCAGACATATAGACTGTGACGTGACACCGGATAGACATGTTCCACGAACCATTTCAAAGTTGGCCTCCTTCAGCCTCTTGCGTCCCTTGTCATAGATGGTTTTCAGAGCCTTCTCCGCCGCTTCCTTCTTCGCCACCTTCTTGGACGACCCCACGCCGTCAACGTGCAGGACACCGTCCACTACAGCGGCGGTGTGGAAGCTGGGGACAAAAAAGCCGGGTTATGATCAGATATTATATACTCTGCTGTCGGAATGTTTATGGAAGGAAAATGTTGGGAATTTGTGTTGTATTCTTGACTATCGAACGCTAGCCAGGTATACAACAAGTACCATCTTTAAGATATTTTGATGCGACGTAGCTGGGGCTCGAACTGGAAATTCAAACCATTGTGATGACATTTCAATTTAGCATATTTCCTGGGTGAGTGATTGAGTGAGTTTAGTTTTACGCCGCACCCAGTAATATTCCAGCTATATGGTGGCAGTATGTAAATAATGGAGTCTGGACCAGACGATCCAGTGATCAACAGCATGATCATCGATTTACGCATTTGGGAACCCATGACATGTGTCAACCAAGTCAGCGAGCCTGACCACCCGATCCCGTTAGTCGCCTCTTACGACAAGCATGGGTAACTAAAGATCAATTCTAACCCGGATCTTCACGCGTCTATTTCCTTCCAGTGGAAGCAAGTTTGGAATGCGGAATTTTTAATTGCTAAACCATTTGATAATCTGAAAAATAGGGGCTTGGGTGGTAATATCCTAATGAGACATGATATTTTCTTCAAAACCAGATTTCCTAACAATATAACCATGAGCCTAACTATAATAATTTACAAACACACCATCTGCAGCAAAACAACATATTTGTATCTGACAACCGAATGTTTTCATCAGTAGGAAGCAAAAATAATTTTCAACCCATTTCTGATACAATTGAGCTTTTTCAATACTCACCTCTGACCACATGCCCTATGTATATCATATGGTACTCTCTCATAATAATGTTGGGCGGTGGGGTAGCCTAGCGGTTAAAGTGTTCGCTCGTCACGCTGAAGACCCGGGTTCGATTCCCTACATGGGTACAATGAGTGGAGCCCTTAATCTGGTGTCCCCCGCCGTGATGTTGCTGGAATATTGCTAAAGCGGCATAACACTTAACTCTCACTACAATTTGTCAAGTAGTCTATGTTGACACCGTTGCACCTACCAGGAGGCGTGGTCTGGGCCGGAACGCGAGAATTCCGTGAACTCCACCGTGACCTCCCGCGTCTGGCCATACTCCATCAGCACGCTGACAGGGTCACGGTCGCCGTACAGGGAGGCGAAGGACGGCCCCTGGGCACCCGCCATGACCGTTGTACCTGCAACAAAGAAACACTCACTGTCATTCATCGTAAAATGTCTGCTGCATTATTCTACAAGGGAAGAACTACTCCCTTGTTACTACAACCACCACCATCACAACCACAACAACGTCTTTGCCCGACATATTTTCACTACCACCACCATCGCAACGACTTCAGCTGCTCCTTTCCCGACATATTTCAACTACTACAACCACCATCACGACGACTGATGACACCACTACATCTTTCCAACTTCTACCACAACCACCTGCACTGCTTCCTCTACAACAGCGACTGCCGCTACTCAGCAAAACAAACTACACGGATCACCAGTACAGGTCATTCATCTGTCTGTACACAATCCAGATATTCTGCTTACTCGAACATGGACTATCATATTACACAAGTTTCGAAATACATCTAAAGCAAGGAAAATGGGACTTGGGACTTCCTGGTTTTTACTATGAAACTAGGAAGAAGGTTGACATGTGTACACATATACATTATTAATATTCATAATTATGATACGGAGTGATCTCGCTATCAGCTTACTCTCAACGGCAGCTATCAACACAGTATCGCTGGTGTGGATTTGATAAAACAATTCAGAGCGATTCTATCGAAACATGAAGCCTATTAATGTGACAATAAATATTATTGTTTACAATTCTGAGAAAAAATGCAAATCTTGACGAAGATAGTTTACCGATTCAATAAACTGAATGATCTCGCTGTCAGCTACACTGGTCAGAACAGTATCGTTGGGGGTGGATTTGATAAAAATAATTCAGACTGATTCTATAGAAACATTACAATAATGTGATTATAAATATTATTACTTATACTTCTGAGAAAAACTGCAAAGCTTGACGAAGATAGTTTACACTTCGACTGAGATTAATTCGTGTGTTTCAGTGTTAGAATCTGGAGGAAACATTGCAGTCATGAATTACCACGTACATTACCTGATATAAATATATCGTGTTTCTGAGTACAATCTACCTGTCTGTTCCTCGACTCACCTGAGTAAACTAGACACACACTTTCTGCGCGACCTGAAGGGGGTGGATGGCTAGCAATGGCGGAGAAACGCCAGTCGAGAAGGGATGGCTACAGGTTAGTTATCAGGTATTCAGATAACAGTTGGGGTGGAGATAACAAGATGGCTTATTTCTGTATCAGTTGCCACCTCTATGTGTGGCAAACCCTTATCTTAACCCTGGCAGGGCCCAGTTACAGTACAGTTACAGCTTGTTACAGAGAAAACATATATGTTATCAGTTCTGGAACTAACATCCCTGTCGTGCATTATATCAGCTGTTACCTGAACACAAGCACACAAATACAGTTATCTAACCGTAGAGGGGCTACACAATTCATCCGGATTTGCGGCACAAAGCGGCAGTGTAATGTTTTTGTGTTCCTCTTTCAAGCGTTATTTCAAAACCTCGGGTTGTAACAACCTTGAAAGTCCACATTATAGAAGCTAAATGCGCTGTTTTGTTAACAGGGCCCTTTCAGTATTCGTCTGTATTGACGGTTTGAGTCCTAAAAGCGTACGTATAATCCCGGCGTACGAGTAGAGGAGAAATTTGCGTGCGTGCATGTTTGCGTGTGCGCTTATCGTAGTCCGTACTAATATCTGTTTTATCTGAAGTGAGTTCAGTGTGATACTATACTGTAGTTTTAACATGGACACCCCTCTCAGACACAGTGTAGTGACACTGGGCCGATTTTCATCACCTTAATGCGCCAGGCAGGGTAAGTTTGTTGATTTGTTGATTTGATTTTAACGCCGCGATCAGCATTTTTTCAGCTATACGACGATGGTCTGTAAATAATTAGAGTCTGGACTAGACAATCCAGTGATTGACATAATGAGCATCGATCTACGCAATTTGGATACCATGACACACATTCAACCAAGTCAGCGAGCCCCTTACGACAGGACCTGGACCATCACAGGTGGAAAGTAAGACGAGGTGATCGGGAATCGACCCAACGTTCTCCGACCAGACGGGGCGTTGGGGTAGCCTAGTGGTTAAAGCATTCGCTCGTCTCGCCGAAGACCTGGGTTAGATTCCCATATGGGTACAATGTGTGAAGCCCATTTCTGGTGCCCGCCGTGATACTGGAATATTGCTAAAAGCGGCGTAAAACTAAATTCACTCTCCGGACAGACGCTCCATCCACTAGAGCAAGGAGGCTTTTCAACGTGAGAGGTGAATGGACATGTTGCCATGCATGTTGTCGGAATACTGGGTATATGACATCTAAGCTCCAGCCACGAGAAGTAAAAATAGTCTGTGTTATATCAACTACGCCGAAGACCTGGGTTCGATTCCCCACACGGATACAACGTGTGACACCCATTTCTGATGTCTCCCGCCGCCATTTTGCGGCGTAAAACCATGCTCACTCATTGATTGTTATACATAAACGACCTGCTTTACAGCTGTTCAAACATTTCAAAGTGCGCCCAGCTGAATATTTATTATTCATGGCAGGAAAAAACCATCAAATCTCCCACCTGTTTGTAACAAATAAAAAATAAAGCCCTACCTCCCTCCTCACTTCCGAAAAACATTCCCAAGAAACATTTTTATGGAGCTTTATTTCGGCGTGCTATATAGATGGAAGGCATGTGATCGGGCGTGTGTTGAGGCCGTGGGGTCGCCAGGGTTACTGGAACACACCTTATCTATACGATTAAATATTGGACAAACACTAAGAAGTCGGGATTGACCGACTTACATGTCATTCTGAACCAAACGATGTTCCGTCGTCAACGTAAGCCTTCAATGGTAGTGTGTGGAACGCATTTTTGGTCACCCCTCCGTAATATTAGTGGAATATTGCTAAAATCGGCGTAAAACCGTACTTATATTTACGTAAGATGTAATCAGACATGCTAGGGAATGACTGTCGATGTCATCAACCAAACGTTTGCAATAACCTCTGATTCCCATTTATTGACGGTGTTTACGAGTTGTTCTCAATATATATGACGGAATCAATTAAGACAGAGACGTTCCCTCAACGTTAGCTTGAACTGAGATCCGCGGGTATGTAAGATGAACACCGATCCCCTCAATCTCTGACAAAGCAGTCGGGATTGACAGTCGAAACCAATCAACATTCCAGCGAGTTTGAGGAAACAAGAACTGAAATATTGTGGCGGAAATGAAAACATAAACATTTCACACTGACACTTTGTGTATGCATTCATAATGTTGATTTATGCCCGAACTTATATTGGTAGAGTTGTTATTGTTCTTTAATTTTGTGTAAATAATCGAGTCTGGACCAGACAACCCAGTGATCAACATCATGAACATCGATCTAAGCAATTGGGATACGATTACTACAGTATAGAGCCCTTGTTGCCTTTGCAATGTCTGAGTGAGTGAGTGAGTGAGTGAGTGAGTGAGTGAGTGAGTGAGTTTGGTGTAAGGCCGCTTTGGACAACATTTCAGTCATAGCAGGATATCAGCTAAATGTGGGAGGAACTAACAAACTTTACAACTCTTGTGAAGTCAGGTAGCACGGGCACTATACGAGCGAACTGCAATTCGAACCCACGATGAAAGTCTGCACTCATGCAGAGAGTAGGTGTTACGCCGCTTCGAGCAGTATTTCATTTATGCTAAGTGGTTGTCAGCTTAAGTTGGCAGGTCGGTTGATGATATATGTATGTATTTTCCTTTCTTTCTTTGGGGTGTGGGGGCGGTGGGGTAGTCTAGTGGTTAAAGCGTTCGCTCCTCACGCCGAAGACCCGGGTTCGATTCCCCACATGGATACAATGTTTGAAACCCATTTCTGGTGCCCCCTGCCGTGATATTGCTGGAATATTGCTAAAAGCGGCGTAAAACTAAACTCACTCCCTCCCTCTTTGGGGTAGGGGTGTGGTGATGGGCGGTGGGTGATCGGTGTTAGGGCGGAGGAAGGGCACGAGATGCTGCTGGTAGTCTTCATCACTATGAGCTCGAGTGTATTGATTATTGTGCTGAGACGAGTAAACCAGAGCAAACCTGGATTCGAACCTGGTACCAGCGGATTATTGCAACAAATGAACAAGAACTGGCCTACATGTAGCCTTTCAACACTTACGACCACCGGAACAGGTACCAATATAGGAATTGATATCAACAGACCCAGTCAGAACATTATTACTAAGTTAATTCAGTTAAATCTCGACGACTACAATGAAATCCTATCAATAAGAAACCATATCCCTGTACATTGGAACATTATCAATAATTACATTGTTTGGTTCAAAGAACACAGGGTCCATAGGCTACACCCCCACTGTGCCCGTATAACGGCGGGATCAGGTTTACGGACGTTGATCATGAAAGATTATCTCCACAATTGACAACATGCCGGCACATGGATGAAGACTGAAGCCTCGACTGTCATTGTGTTACAGGCTATTGTCGAAATAAGTCGCCGTGTTAGTGACACGTATATCAATGCCACATTGTCTGTTTGGGCCAATAGTTAATAAACTATACGTTATCTTATCTTGGACAGGGGGACAAAGGGGAGCATGTTTAACAAAACACTTAGTGTCTAATTGAATCGTAAGCGTGTTCTGTCGTAACAGTTACGGCTAGTGTTTACAAACAAAATAGAACAAATTCAAATATATGTTGAATAGTGTGTGTATGTGTTACCATGAGGTTATGGGACTGGTGATTTATAACAGGTGGACGGGGTGGGATTAAGGGGAGTAAGGAGTGAGTGAGTTTAGTTTTTCGCCGCTTTTAACAATACTCCAGCAATATCATGGCGGGGGACACCAGAAATGGGCTTCACACACATTGTGCCCATTTGGGGAATCGAACCCGTGTCTTCCGGGTGACGAGCGACCGCCTTAACCACTAGGCTACTCCACCGCCCTAGAGGAGCCAGGAAACTAGGATAGCAAAAGATCTGGTGAAGTCGCAAATCCACTTAGGGGGCGGGGTAATAAAAACCGTATACCGTTCTATTTAGGCAAATAACATAATTAT